ACTTCTGCTGTTCTATAGTTTTCTCTTGTAGTTGACGAAGTGCAAAAATCACGTGTATTGTGGACCGGTTCGGTCTAAAGCCGTTTTGAGATTGTGGGAGAAGTTTATCTAAGTACGGTAAGAGTCTGTTGGACATGACTCGGGTCAGCACCTTCCCCTTCCATTACCAAAAAAGATATTCCGCGATAATTTCCGCAGTCAGTAGGGTCATCTTTCTTCTTAAAAATATTCACTATCACGGCGTCGCGAAAGTCCTGCGGGACTTGTTGGTTAAGTCAAATTTTGGAAAAAAGAGTCTCTAGTAATGGAGTGAATTCGTCTCCAAGACATTTCAATATTTCCGCAGGAATTCCATCTTTTCCAGAAGCCTTGTTATTTTTTAACTGACCAAGTGCGAACGAGATTTCTTCGGTAGATGGAGTTTGATCCAGGGATGCACCGACACAGTGGGGGATAAGAGTGAACTTCTGGCCCACGGTGCTTTCCTGATTAAGAATAGGTTCGTAGTGTTCTTTCTAGCGATTACCGATTTCATTGGCGTCTTTTAGCAGTTGGCCAGTATTATCTCGAATAATGTTTAAGTTTCTTGCGGGGCCATATACTTTTTTAATCGAATCAAAAAAGGCACGCGTGTTGTGCTGATCTGCAAAAGACTGTATTTCGTTTGCCTTATCACACCATCATTTATTTTTTATTGCTCGAATCTCTTTTTGTGTTCTAGCTTTTTCGCTCTTAAACCTTTCTTGCAGAGTTGTGCTGTTGGGATTGTTTACTAGCACCTGAAATGCACGATTTTTACTCTGAAGCAACTGCTCAATTTCGTTTTTGTTGTCATTGAACTACTCCTCCTTTTTCCTAGCTTTGTCAAAGCCCAGGACTTCTGTGCAGCTGCAGGAAATTGCATCTCGGATTAGCGGCCAGCAAGCATCAGGTCCGGCTACGGAGATAAGATGTTCCGCTGATTCTACCTGAGAGTTAAATCTTTCCTGCAGTTCTGCAGTTATTCGGGGATCCGACAACTTTTTGATGTTTAGTCGTTGAGCCTTGATGTTTTCGGCTCTGCGGAAACTGCATTTAGTACGCAAAGAGAACATCATTTTTGATACAACGAGACGGTGGTCTGTCCAACAGTCAATATCGATATGTGCTTTGGTGCTATGGACTTCATTTACGTTTTTCCTCCTAACTATTATATAGTCCAGGAAGTGCCAATGCCTCGACCGTGGATGACACCATGTACCTTTAAACTTGTCGTTTTGTCTAAAGATCGTATTGGTTAAATTGTTAAGGTTAAATTGTGTTCAGCACAAGTCGAGAACAGTAGGCCGTTCGAATTCACATTTCCTGACCGTACTTTCCAATGGTGCCCGGCCAGAGAGCAGATTCCCCACCAACGCGTGCGTTAAAATCGCCTAGAATGACAAGCCTTTCTTGGGCAGGAATTTTGGAGAGTTCTTGATCAAATGCTTGGTAGAATATATCTTTCTCTTCAGGTGACGAGTCTAAAGTTGGGGCGTAGACGCTCATGATGTTCAGCGTTTCGTTAGGATTTAAGAGGTATTTTAGGACCATGATTCTTTCCGAGACTCCCTGAGGGATTTGTGCGGGATTAGCTAACAGACTGTTTTTAATAGCAAAACCTCCATGTATTTTCTTACGGAGATTTTCTCTGAATATTCTTTCCAAAAGAAGGTATATTCTTTCTCTCTTATGCAGCCCTCGTCTGCTAGCCGAGTCTCACTAAGCGCCACAATATCAAATTTAAGTTTGTCCAGAGTTTGCGATAGAATCGCTGTTCTTCGTTCAGGGTGTTGGACTCTAGAGTTATCGCATAAGGTTCTGACGTTCCATAATTCGAAATTGAAATTTTGCGATAAACTACTCGCGAACTACACCCTTCCCCGGAGATCCGACTGGAAGAGTAGTTTACCTCCGGATGACGATTTTGTCCCTCGAGATATTCATAAATGTGCGCACAGAAAGTGATGGCTGCGTGTATTAGAGTTGATCACAGTTACGCTACTGAACCAGCTTTGGTGCAACAACGGGAAGATTGTCCAATGGCACGAGGCACGGAGGATCCGCGACGACTGGGTCCTCTTCGTTATTTGGGCACCGAACCCTAGGAGTGCCATTTGCTGCACTCCTTGTCATAACCTAATGGAAATCGGCTATGGTTAGAGTTATCCCGCTCATAATCGGTCATCAGAGTCTCGTTTGCAAAATCAAGGTAGACCATGTGAGGTTGACATTTGAGTAGGATAAGCTGTTAGAAGGGCATGAGTTACGCATGCCCCATTACTACCCCATACAATAAAGTGATAAATAGTAGAAAAGATAAATAAAGCCTGGCAAAATCAGAGTAAGTATATATAAATAATTTAAATAATATATGAAAAAAATATTGATTGAAATTACATGTGAAATTGATATTAATTATTAGCAGTTTAATTGGCCAATGATTAATTA